CTGACTTCTCCTACTTTAATCTTTTAATTGTGAACAAGAAAGGGAGAGGGGATATGTGAGTCAAGTATGCTGCTTTTGACCTTAACTCAAGGCGTCCCCTTTTGAGTCAATTTTGGCACTTTTACATGTCTCAGCAATCATTTACTTTGTGGTAAGTGGGATGCTAGAGGTGCCAGGTAACCAGCTGAACAAAGCTTCTAAAATGTTCTTTCATGGGGATCCCTGTGAGACTGCTGCACTTTGGAGGCAAGTTTAAAGCCTCACCACCTCATTTCAGTCCTACAAGGCATATCAGATTGTCTATTTTACAGGAAGGCCCTGGCGTCGTCTTTAAAGTTTGCATTATCCACCAATAATAGTTTACTCCTCAAGGAGGCTCAGATGTGATGCAAGCAAATTAAAGGAGCAAATATACATCATCTAAAGTCTTCGTGACAAAAAGGCTTGAGGCTTGATCTCAATCTAACCAAACCACTGGATCTAGCTTTCAGCTTATAGGAAATAGAAACTGTCATGTACAGTCTCTAAGATGACCAGTGCCTTGACTAATCCATTGTCTTTGAGTAACCTGCTTCCAACCATTCTGTTGAGATGTCACTTCTGTGATTAGATTTTAAAAGATTCCAACATTGGTCCTGCTAGCAGGCTCTCTCCTTTGCTGGCTTTGAAGAAGGAAATTGTCATGTTGGCAACCAAACCAAACAAAACAAGCAAAAATGAGGATAGTCTCTGGCAAACAGCTAGCTAGGAACTGACGTCCTCTGTCCAACCCCAAAAGAACTGAATGACCATGGAAGCTTGAAAATGATTATGTTCCCAGACAAGCCTTTAGATGAAATCCCAGCCTTGGCTGGTATTATTATTTTTTTGGCAGTACTGGGGCTTGAACACAGGGCCTCCACCTTGAGCCACTCCATCACCCCCTTTTTGTGATGGGTTTTTCTGAAATAGGGTCTCACCAACTATTTGCCCAGGCTGGCTTTGAATCATGATCCTCCTGAGTAGCTAGGTGCAAGCCACCAGCACCCAGCATAGCTGGTATCTTGACTACAACCTCATGTGAAACAGCTAGTGGCTATGTGGGATTCATGACCCACAGAATATGGTAGATAATAAAGGTCTGTAGGTGGGTGGTTTGTTTTGTAGCTCATGTTAGCAAATGTTCTATTGCCAAGCGTGTGTTGTTTTAAACCATTAAGTTTTGAGGTAGTTTATACAGCAATAATGCATAATACAGAAGGTTTACAGGAACATTTTACAAATACAAAACTGGGCATACTTCACATTCTAGAGTAGAGTCTTCAAAAAGTCAATGGTAAGTGACTCTTCAAGTAAGAGATCTAAGAGATATAAAACCAAATAATTAAATTGAGAAATAAACCCTAATTAGATTTAGATAGGACCATTTACAGCAAAAGATAGTTACAAGAGACATTCTTAGGAAAATTAAGGACAGTTGAAATATGAACTAGATATCTGACATTATGAAATTACCTGTTTCCTTAAGTGTGATAATCTTATTGCAGTTATAAAGAATATTCTTTAAAATGCCCTTATTCTTAGAAGATGCATACTAAAAGGTTTAGTTGATTTGAAATCTGCAACATGTTTTTTAAGTAATGTCAAAAGTATAAAGAGAAAAATATGGTGATATTAAAATGGTACAAACCTATAGTCTCTGGTTTAACAATAGTTTGACTACAATTTTTTGACTTTATAATGGTATGAAAGCCATACACATTCCTTAGAAACCCTACCTCAAATTTTGAACTACACCAGTCTAGGGACATCTGGTAAAAAGCTATTCATGATACTAGGCAATGGCAATGCACCACAGCTCTCAGTCAGTCATTAAATAATGACAATGAACAACTAATACTCTATGGTGTACTGTGTTGCTAAGCTATTATGGTCAGTAGGTTTGGTATATTACATTGCATTTTCAAATTGTGGTAAGTTTATTGGGACATAACACCCATCATAAGTCAAGGAGTACCTGTAGTTGGCAAGTCCTTGAATGTTCACTGTACTTCTCTTTCACATTTTCTTTATGCATAAACATTAAAGGAAAACTCATGGAAAAATGAAGTTAAATGAAAAAGCCTTCAAAACTGTATTTATAATCACAACTATACTGCATATAATTTTCTACAGAAAAATGCATCAGAAATTAGAATAATTAGAAATTACTCTCAGAACTTATAAGAAGGACAATACCTCGCAAATGGTCCTCTACTCATTTTATCATTTCCTCACAAAATAACCACAAGAAGAAGTGTTAATTACTATGGAACCTCCTGCTCTTGTCCCCAGAATCTATATTTAGCTTTTTCTTCCACCACTTATGAAGATTATGAGGTGGATAAAAAACTTAATCACATTGCTATTTAGTCATCTATTGCTATTACGTCAAACTCAATTATAAGAAAATCACAATAGTAACATACTCATCTAAAAATGAAGCTAAGTTATGAAGTTGAGATGCCAATTTAGCTCATTTGCAGGCAATGAGATTTCAAATGCAATGTTAATTACACTAATTCCAAGACTCATACCAGACTTGTAGAGGTGATTTGGCCATGTCTATCAGTCTAATGTCCATTAACTTGATCCATCAGTTCCATGCATAAAATGTATTCCAAAGAACTAGTAAGACTCTTGTGAGATTTGCCATAGCACTGCTTGGTAGCCAATTGGAAAAGTACCCAATAATAAAACATGGGTATATTTATATAATGAAATATTGTATTTATTAAGGTAGATATATGTGTCCTATATAGAGAGTTTTAAAATCAGATTATTGAACAGTGTATCACAGTCTTTTTTTAAAAAATAAAACGTTTACATACATGTTAATATGATTTAAGGTATGAAGAATGGTTCTTTTAGTTTGTTGAATTTCAGGCAATTTTTACTTAGGGGGGGTGCATGTGTTTCACTCAATGAGTATTTTTCTTTTGGAAAAACAGGATTAAGAGAATCAAAGAAAAGTTTAACTAAAGAAAAAAAAATCTTTAAATCACTATCATGTCCTTCAACTGAGATTATCTTTCCTTGTACTAAGCTGTGTAAACATGAAATGACATAATAAAAGTTGTTATAAAAAGACACAGTGATGGGAATCAGTGTTTACAATTTGTCACTCCTTACATTTTGGACTACATCCAATCATTATTCAAACAATTTTCAAAATATTGCAGATAAATTGTTTGTACTCACAATTACATGCTAGACTGGACAAGAAAGCAGTGTACTATAATGGAATCAAGCTGATTTGGGTTAACCTCAAGTTTTGCCATTTAAGTCTGATGTACCAATCTAAATCCAATCTCAATAAAATGTAAAAGCACAGGTACCTAACTGAACAAGCAAACAGTACTTAAAATACAGGTATACACCAAGAAGTTGCAACTTAATACTCAGTAAGGTACACATCCCCTATATTTACATTTTACTCATTAACTTTTGATATTCTACAAGTTTTACCTTGGATTAATCTAGACAATCAGAACTTTTTCTTCCCTTACTGAGAAAAAACTGTCCTTTTAGACTGCAATTTGGAATCAAGCCAGGAATCCCATGATTCTTTACACTGTAAATGGTCAGAATGTTGTTCACTGTAGTAGGGAAAGTGCTCTTTGTGAAAACAGAGATACCAGGGCTGAGGATGTAACTCAGTCATTAGAGCACTTGCCTACCATGTGTGAGACCCTGAGTTTCATGTCCAGCACTAGGGAAAAAAAAGAAAAAAGAAGTAACACTTCTCTTAAGAAATTGAGTTACCTTAGACACAATAAATTATGTGATTAATAAATGACTCCTTCTTTGTGGTAGTTGCTAAGATGTTCAGAAATACCTGTGCCCTCCTTACAACATGGCAAGTACTTTGAGTAGTCTACAAGTACTCATGACTTCACTTTTTTAACTATCATGATTAATTCTATTGTTTATTTTTGAAACCAGAGGTAATACTATCTTTCATTTAAAGTAGGTTCGAGGATTAAAGTGTATAGTATACTGCCTGAACAATATTGGATGCTTAAAATCACTAATTTCATATGACAGGCTCTTGTCAAATAACAAAGTTTGATGTATGCTTGCTTGCACAATTGCCTAATTACATTTAGCATTCCAAAATTCTCTTTGAATTAAAGAAATATGACTCAAGCCAAATATCAAAACTGAAATGAAAAATTAAGTTAACTCAAATAGTGAAGGGCAAAAGAAAATAGATCTTAGTTGTAATGAAAATGACCCAAAATAAACAGCTAAATATCAAAGCCATAATGACAAATGAAGTTACCTCATATAGTAAAGGGGTAAAGAAACTAGAACCTGTAACTGACTTGAAGCCAAACCTATCTGAATTGACACGTGATCTAACTATTTCACTATTTTTTTCTTTATCTAAAAACGGCCCATCATACAAGGCACCGGTGGCTGTAATCCTAGATACTTGGGAGGTTGAGTTCGAGAGGACTGAGGCTCAAGGCCAGTAGAGCAACTATTGTGCAAGAGACCCCCATCTCCAAAAAATAACTAGAGTAAAAATGGACAGGAGGTATGGCTCATTTCAGGCTTTCTTACAAGCCCAAAACCCCAGTCCCACCAAAATAAACAAACAGATAAAAATGACCCATCAAACACTTTCTCTTTACAAATGACTTAAATCAAAATATTATTATGTCTCTTCAATAAATAATTTATAATAATTTATAAAAGTTTTTAAAGTAAATCCTTAAATAAGACCTTGAAATATATCAATACTGCTGAAAGAATCCAACAGTGATAGTAAAGTTAAATAGGAGATAAGTGACAACATTAACAGTTTGTTGTATAAAAACGGTAAAAGCATGTTTTATAAATAAAAGCCCTTATGTTCTCCTGAATGAATACGACGAGGCAGAAAATGGCATTATAGTTGAATTATTGATTAATTCTTTCTTAATTTACTTCTATACTCTTGAAAACCTACCCACATTACACAGGAAAATCTCGCATTTCATCAGTGCAAAAATTTTATTTCTCCTTTGTTTCCCCTCCCCATCACTTTACAAGATCTGAAATTTTACTTAATCCACAGTATTATTCTTCTTAATCATCTGCAATCAGTCAGGTAAAATGTGAGGGAAAAAAACAAAAAAAAACCCAACAACACTAATCAATTTAAAATCTCACCCCCACCCTTGGCCTTCCCCATTGCTACAGCAAATTTAGGATTAGTCTGCAACATTCACTTACTTTAGCTGGCTCTGATACTGAGGCATACTTTTTTATTTGAGAATCAACACCTAAAGACTTAGCTAATTGTACAGCATTTGAATCATCACTGATAAGTGTCCCAAGAGCCACAAGAAGTCTAAAAACGGCTTCTAGGTCTTGTACAACTTCCAAAATTGTACTAATTACTGACAAGCATTGAGCTTTCCCTTCAATGTTATGGTCTTTATGGAAACAAACAGAATAGTTCAAGGTCAAGGTAGCCAGAGCAACATGAATGTTCTTATTGCTCCCTGATTTCAGTTCTATTGCATGGGACATCAGTGATTCTCTCTGAGACATCATGAGTTTTTGTCCTGCCTGGCCAACAAAGCAATTACAAAAAGTCCTGAGAGCAAGCAGCTGGTTTGCTGGCTTTCCTTTAGGGTTCAGAAGATTCATAAGATGACTGCTGAACTGAGCCCCTTCCTTTTCATTGCAGAAGTTCTCATTCACATTGGGATGTTTAATTGACAGCCGGAGAACATCAAGTGCAGGAAAGACAATATCTATTAGAAAGAAAAATTCATTAATGTTCACAAAAATATAGAAAGTTCCCTATGACTGTTACTCAATTTTTAAGGAGTTTACTTTCCTACTATGAAATTAACATGTGACCATTTTAGAAAATGTGAAAAATCATGTGCTTGCTTTACAAAATGCATATATTTCTGAAAATCATGTTAATTGGTTTTTTACATTTGTATTGACAGTATTTATTGCTAAAAGATCATATATGCTTTAAGAATAAAGTAATATTTTCAGATTATCAAATAGCCTAATGAATGAATGCAGTAGGAACTTTGCTTTAAAAAATTTTGTAAGAAGACCAAAGAGGTGAACAGGCAAAGTACTCCAAAATCTGCAATCTCTTAGCACCAGGTACCAAAAAGCATTTCTGATTTTAGATTTCTAAATTAAGGATGCTCAACTAGTAAAGTTAATGTCAATATTTCAAAATGAAAAACTCCAAAATCTAAAGAATTGTGGTTCAAACATTTCTGATGAGGACTATCAACTTATAATTTCAGATTCTCTTAAGGCATGTGACCAAAACAACATTATAAATTATAGTGATGTAGTGAATTCTTTTTGTTAAGTTTTTCACAATTTGAATTAGAACTGTCTAAGTTAACTTTCATTTAATCTAGAAACAACAGTAATATTGTTAGAAATGAATGCTTTCGAGTTACATTTTAAATGGTGCTTGCTTATTTACCTTCAGGCCAGTGGATAGCTTTCCACAAAATCTGCAGTTGCTGGGCTGTGGGTTTTTCTGAAGAACTATTACATATTAGGGACAGTATCTTTTCAAGAAGTACCAAGTCATCTTCAGTTAACTTCTTCTCTTCAGGTGCAGTTCCATTGAGTTCCTTCAGTTTTCCTAGAACCCAAAGCCAAACTTTCAAAATTCTCTAACTGTGGTTAGTCAGGTTATATCAAAGCCAAAACTTTCAGTGAGAATATTCTGCTGGAAGAATATTCTATTGTACAACTGTATGACTTTTCTTGGTAATTATTAAAGACCTTAAAATAAAAAGGGTTGTGTTTTTTCAGCTGAGCATTTGTATGGCAAAAGAAAGATTACTGTGATCATTTTTATTTCACCTGTTATTTTCTAAGACTTTCTGAAGGTTTCTATTTTTAATAAAGTTTGAAAGTACATCAGATTTGTAACCATTCTAAATAGTTTGCAAAGCAATAGCACATTGTGTATGACCAGGCGTGGGTTGACCCTACGTTCCTAACAGAAAATTTGTAACAACTTTTTACAGTTGCCAATGGAATAGCTGAGTAAAATGCCTAATGAAAATAAAGTTCCAGCTGCATATTTGACAACACATTAAAAAATTATTTAGCAGAAAGAAATAGCACCTTTCCTTCCCATGTTCACCATTTCTATCATTTCTTCAAAATTCTTTAATTCAAGAAAACTCAAATTCCACTCACAAAGATTAATGAAGATAAATCATCCAAATTTACAAATTTTTATAAAATCTAAATGGAAACATGGACCTGTTTCACTACTCTTCAGCATCAGAAATTTCAAGTATCACCGAACTATTGAAAACTACTTATTTAAGGAATGTAAAAAGCAACAAATCGCTTAGATTTATATAATAGTTTTAAAATGCCTTTTTAATTTAAAATAAATGAAGATACATATGAAAGATTTTTTTGTTTTGGGGTGAGCCTGGGGTTAGAACTCTGGGCTCTGCACTTGCAAAGAGGTTCTCTACTGCTTGAGCCACACTCCAGTCCATTTTGCTGTGGTTATTTTGGGGATGGAGTCTTGGGAACTATTTGCTTAGGCTGGCCTTGAACCAAGATCCTCCTGATCTCAGCCTCCCAAGTAGCCAGGATTACAGGCATGAGCCACCAGTGCTATGAATGCTTTTTATAAAGATATTATGAAGGATGATAATGACCTCTCAAAATACCCTGACTTATATTTAGGCATGAATGTTATCTTAATTCTCACCATCTTTGTGGCAAATAGAGATGATGGTTCTCTTCATCAAAAGACCCAGCATTCCTTCCTTCCTTCTTTCCCTCCTTTCTTACCACTCTCCCTGCTCCCTTCCTCTCCTTTTTTGCTATTTTTTTGAGACATGTAGACCAGGCTGGCCTCAAACATACTACATAGCTCAGGTGGCCCTCAAACTTGGAAAACTCTGCCTCAACCTCCCAGGTGCTGGGATTACAGACTTGTACTACCATGCTCAAATACCTATAAGGTCTACTTTGCTTAATCATTTTAAAAGCCTTATAAGATTTCCTATGCAAACAGCAGGGCTCACCACGCACCTGCAGATAATCAAGAATTGACTTTGTGAGGAATAAACAATGCCACTCAAAGTTCTGCTCCAGGTCCTCTAAACAGCATCTCCAGACCAGGGGATGAGCAACAGTGGAGAAGCAGCCTTGATGGTGTCTCAACTGTCTGTGGCATGCGAGAAAATTAATTTAAATCAACTTACCTAATATCTGTGTAGGGTTTGCTTGGTCAAAAGTGACAGCTTCTTTTTTAGGGAAATATATATTCACTGTTTTAGATGCAGCTGATCGGTAGGCACTATTCCCTATTTACAGAATCGAAAATCATTCAGCATGATCATAAATGAGATTTTTCTAATTGTATGACTTCATTTTCACAATTATTAACGTGTAACTACTGGGTACATGCAATGAAAACAAGCAACTTCAAAAAAGAGAAATAATTCATCTATCAAATACTGTAGACTGTTTATGTACTTATTGATACAACATTAGCAGGCACTGTCATTTATCCTTGTCATCTTCATAAATCCCAACTTAACAAAACTCTATCTGATGATAAACAAACTGACATAAGATGAGAATTCAGAAACAGTTAGTGGAATGAATGACTTCAACTAAAGTATAAGTTAAACCCCAATTGCCTTACTTACATTTTAAATCTTACTTGTGCTCCATTTTTATTCTAATATAAAGATGAAGCAAGTAGTAAGTGTACAAAATTAATTCTAACTTTATAAAGCATAAATTATTTACTCACATGATCAAAGATTAGCTACAGACATTGCCTACACTCCTGATTGTTAGTCTAGTCTGTGGTAAGGACAATGAAAACATTAATCAAATAGTCAAACAATTAAGCACAATGAAAAGACCTCTGAAGACAAAGTACAGGATGCCATGAGAACTTATGACAAAATGGGTGATTTGGCAAAGGACAAATGTGGATGCTCAGGAAAGTTTTACTGTTCAATACTTTTTGTTTGTTTGTTTTTGGTGAGGGGGCAGTAATGGGATTTGAACTTAGTGTCTTTCTACTACTGGAGCCACACCCTCCAACCATTTTTTATTTAGCTTGTAGTTTTGTTTTTGTTTGTTTTTTGGCAGTACTGGGGCTTGTACTCAGGGCCTAGAACTTTCTAGACTGGTGCTCTACAACTTGAACCTCTTTCCCAGCTTTAGTTTGTTTATTTATTTATTTATTTTTTATTCATATGTGCATATATTGTTTGGGTCATTTTTTAGTTTGTTCTTGAGATAAGGTTTTACTTTTGCCTAGGCCGTTCAGACTAAGCCTCCTACCACCATCTTTCGAGTAGTAGAATTACAGGTGTGTAGCACCACACCCAGCATGCTTTTTGAGATAGGGTCTCCTTAACTTTTTGCCAGGATTTGCTTTGAGCTTTGATCCTCCTATCTCTGCCTCCCAAGTAACTGGGATTATGGGTGTGCACTATTATGCACAGCCTTCAATAAAGTTTTAATAAGTACTTTATTTAAAAATTAAAAAGGAAAAAAGGGGGAGTGAACAACCAATAACTCGTGGTCTAAATAACATAAGGATCATAAAACAGAATCGTGTGTTCAGATCTCTTGAGGTAGAAAATAGCATGGCAAGCTTGACACATGCTGGAATGAAGAAAAAAAAAAAATAAGAATGCCAGAAAAGCCATTTGAGGGTTTTTAAAACAAAGGTATAAACAGAGTAAACTACAAAAAAGGTCACTGCCTGCAGTATGGACCATGGAGAGACCAGATTGGATGCTGTTATTTCATTAGTCTAGGTGAGAGGGAATGACAACTTGGACCATGGTATACAAAGGTCCAGTACAGATAAGAAATTGTTAAAACTAACTTCTGAATCATGCTGTAATCCCAGCCATTAGGAAGTCAAGGAAGGAGAATTGCAAGTTTAAGGACATCCTGAACTGCATAGTGACCCTTTCAAGAAACCCAGGGCTGGGAAAGTAAAGTATCTGCCTACCATGTGTAAGGCCCTGGGTTTGATCCCCAACACCATAAAAAACAAAACAAACAAACAAAAAAGCCCAAAAAACTGATAGAAAAATGGGAAAGAGCACTGTTAACTTTAGCCTCTTTTGTTAAATAAGTGCAGTAAACAATCACTAAACAATTATTCTCTACAAAGCAATTTACATGAATTTTATAATTTTAGGCTTTTACATCTCTGGGAGGGAGAGATTATCTCAACTTTTCAAGTGAGAAAAACAGAGCCAGACACATCAAATAACTTGTTCAAGATAAACAGATAAAAAAAGTAGTGATGGGAGCAGGGGGGAGAAATGACCCAAGCCTTGTATGCACATATGAATAATTAAAAAAAAAAAAAAGTTGTGAAACTGAGATTTGACTCAAAGCATTTTTTCACTACCCAGTCCATAATCGTAACTACTATCTTATGCTTACCACTGCTGAACACAGCCAGACACCATGGTTCACGCCTAAAAATCCTAGCTACTTGGTAGGCTGAGATCGAGAAGATCAAGGTACAAGGCCAGCCAGGGCAAATAATTTGTGAGACCCCCATCTCCAAAATAACCAGAGCAAAACAGACTTATACAAGTTCCTGTTTTACAAACATGAGCATGTGTGTGTGTTACATATGTATGTATATATATTGCCAAACAATGTTACTTTTGCAATTAAAAAACAGCTTATGAAAACACATGCCAAGTTAGTTAAGTGGTGAGTTTATGAGCATTTACTTATGATTCTCAATAAAATGTCATTCAAATTCTCATATATATCTAAATATGTATTTGACATTTATCTGATATAAATATATACTGACATATATTTATCTAATAAAGCATAAAACAAAAATTAAGTAGGGAAAAATATGTCAAGAGATATGTCAAATTAAAAGTGTTGACCCACAAATTTAGCTTTGCATTTTACTGGCAGCATAAATGGAGGAAATCATGCCTGTTTATAGTCATGGACAGGTAAGATGTATCAGACTCCAGGTTACATATTAAAGATAAAAAAAAAATAATTGCTCAAAAGAAAGCCAGATATTTCAGACCTAAATAATAAAAGCAAATTCTTTTGAGTCTTCTTAAAGAAAATATTGGTTAATCCAGCAACTAGCATGAATGAAGGAGGAAGGATTGGAATGAACACTGATTTTTCTAAGGGCAGTGAAGAATAAGTTTTTTCAATCCTGCAAAGTTTATAAAACTGCCCTTGCCAAGACCCACCTACATCAATATTAGACCAGTGAGCAGCTATAGGAGTGAGAATCAAGCTTACATTTTTAAGTTTTCCAAATGATTCTAATGTGCAGTAATGAGACAATTTTGAGAAAATTCTAAAAACTAAACCACGAAAATGATCTATAACAGAAGTCCTCAAGTAAGAAAATGACACAGATTTTCTTACTGTTTTTGAAATCTAAAAATTTCTATATATATATAAATTTTTTTTTTTTTTTTGCAATGCTAGGGATCAAATGCAGGGCCTCAAACATACAAGGTAAGAATGCTACCACTGAGCTACACCTCAAGCAATTTCAATGAATTCTCAAAATCTAAAAGAAAGAAAAAGAAATTAAAAGTAGGTACCTGTAAATGGATCAACTCCAGCCATGGCCGTGCCCATACTTGTAGAACCTGGCACATAACGACCAGCACCTATAATGCAATAACACTGTAAGCAAAGGTAACTACAGATTACAAAGTTCAAAGTATTCCTTCTTTACATAACATTTCACTATCAGTCACACTTGGAATGGCATCTTTATATACATAATAAATATTCTGCAAATTTAATACAGAGAAATGTTTAGAACAGTGCATTCCATATGTGAGTGTCCAATAAATGTTCTAAATAATTCTGAAGTGACAAAATATGGCATTAAATGGCTCAGACATTATAATTATAGAAGTTTAGTGAATTACAAAAACATTCGCTGGGCTCAGCTTTTGAGGAAAGGAGGAAGATGCGTTATTATTCTAGCCTCTAGAAGTTTATACATATGGTCTGGTTAGTCCAACTGGTGCAACACACAGAGAAAAGGCAAATAAACTAAAAAACAAAACCAAAAGAAGATTTAAGATTAACTTAAAATAATGAAAACTACAGAATAAGTAGATTTGTTGAGCTTTAGTTATACACTAGCCAGCATGCTCATAAGCATCTTATGTGCTCATTGAAGTGTTAAATACCATTATAATTCACAGTATTTTAGAAGGCTGAATCACTTGCCCACAGCATTAAGCTATTAAGAGACAGTACAGTTGTATACTTTTCTGATCATCTGAGTGAATCACCTATAATATGTAGGTTCACAGACTTTACCCATAACCTAGTCATTCTCTAAATTGCCTCCACTTTAGAAGCAAACAGAAAACTTCTTAAAAGTAAAACGCCCCGAAGACCATTTAATCAGAATCCTTGGGTGAGGGAACATAAGCATCGTTAACCTCCCCACTAATCTAGTAAATCAGAATCTCTGGGGTACCAATAGTTCAAATGAGCTTCGCAGATCATTCTAATGGATATTTAGAACTTTGAGTACTGCATAAATTAATAAGAAAAAAGAAAAAGAATTAATATTGACCTAAGTTGTATGCTAGATGAGGAAATCCTTTGGCCCCAGCGCTATTGGTAAAGTTTGGGGAATAACATCAACAATAACAGTAATAATAACAAATACATCTTGATGGCTTAAATGTACTCCAGGTACTTTGCTAAACACTGTACATGTATTATGTCATTTAATTTGCATATATCAATACAGTAGATGCTACAATCTATTTTTGTTTTGATTTTTAAGACAAGGTACCACTATTCAGTCCAGGCTGGCCTCAAACTCTCCATTCTCCTGCCTCTGACCCCTGAGTGCTGGGATTACAAGTGCATACCACCACACCTGTTTTGTTATCTATTTTGTATCCAAGTTCAGTGATCCTAATGACACCATGATTCTCTCAGACATTTACTATGCAATCTTGCCTAGCTACATAATCAATGGATCTTCTGAGTTACTGACATTGTACACCGCAAGACATACTCTGGTTATCAGGGCCCCAAGAGCTCTCCTGATTTTGTTGGTATTGATTCAAATTTGGTAGTGTGCTTTATTTTAGAAAAAAAACCACCAATGACATTCTGGAATTCTGTTGGAGCAAGTTTCAGGTATCACTGTTCCTGAATTGCTGATAAAATAGAAGGCCACCATTTTATCTGCTCTTCAGATCCTTATTACCATCTGAAATCACATTATGTCATCAAAAACTTCCTTAACAGCCATTGCACTGTCATAGTATTTAGCTTGATAGTTGGTTATCTCAGTGTATGGGTTGTCAATGCAAAGGATACAATCATCTGCAGCTGGGACCACCAATTTATTCACAGGAGAAATGACCACTGAGAGCAATTCATTTGCCAGAAGACTGGCCTACATTTGTGTGTTGACCCTATCTATGGCTGAGAGATGATCATGGGTGGTCATTTTTATAGCTCACAGTACTAAGTCTGCAAAGCTAGCAGATTCCATAAGAGTTATAGATCTCTTCCCAACTGGGTGTATCATCTAAGAACTCTGCCTAAAGATCCAACAGCATCATAAAAGATATCATAAGCCATTCTGAAAATAGAACCTTCTTCAGCTGAATTAAAAGTTCAGCTCCGCCAGGTTTTTTTTTCTTCCAGCAATGTTGAGCTGAGGCTTGCATACCTCAGGAAGTAAACTCACTCTGAAGAGATAAAAGATACTTCAAGAAGGCCATGAATAACTTAGATTAGGAAGACTAATCCTGGGTAGCTGTGTGGAATGCCTCCTTCCATGCTAAGTCAAAATATGCCTGGGCAGACTTCTTGATTGCACCGCTCCATCCAATACCAGGAACTCACATGGCTCCTTCTCTGCTCCTGATTTGTAGCATCTCGCCAATGATAGCACTCAGGGTGTATCTTGGTTGGAGGGTTCCCCTATTATCTAATTTCACAGATAAAAAACAAAGGCTCAGACAGGTTAAATAACTTGCTGATTTCTCATAGCAAGTAAGTGGTAGAGCCAGGTTTTGAATCTAGGACTGTCTGACTCTAAAACCTCTATTTTTTAACTACTCTGCTCTCTTGGTGGAATGAGCCATGGGAGAAATAACATGCTATTTAAAAACCATGAGGGAAATCTACAAAGACACTCTAGGAAAATGCAAAAATTAGAAGTTAAAAGGAGGTCCATCAAAATTGAAAATATAGATAAGGGAATTATATTATGGAATAATATCTCCAAAACATAATGCAAAATGCTACCAATTTAGTGAAGGCTCTATTAATCAAAACTGCATCCCACCTGTGAAAGGATCTGCTGTGGGCAGTGTGTTGGAAGATCCTGAAGAGCCAGGAACGTAACGACCGCCACCTTTGCATGCAAAACAAAGGAAAAGCTGAGTATATCAAAACTTTTTGAATTTCATAAACAACACAATGCATACATTAGAAGAAGCTAAACTTGGAGAAAACTAACAGAGTGAACTTAAACTGAAAAAAAACCTAAAATTCCAGTGATTCTCCAAGGTTTTTCTTAAACCCAGCATATAAATATTAAAATAGTTGAATTCTAATACAAAGAGACCTCCAGGTGATCTCTGACCTAATAACTATAATCCATTCCTATCCAAACTCACTAGAATTTCTGCTGTTGTTGCTATCAAAACCACAGGCATTAAATGTTAATCTTTTGGAAAAGCCCTGGGTTCATTAATTCATGTGTCAAACAGTATACTCAGTGCTGAGGATCCAGCAGGGAACAAAATTGCTTGCATCCACTGAAGCTTATAACCTACTAGAAAAAAGAATTGCACAGGGAATGAGCACTATGAAGGAAACAGATGTTCATTTACACGTTTACGAGTGTGTGGTGTCTGAGAATATGTTTTGTTTATACATCTAGGGAAATAATCAGGTCATCTACAAAAAGATATGTAAGTATGCTTACAAAATTGGAAGAAAATAAGACAAGTAGTTGACAGATTTCCAGCAGAACAAACTGCTTTTGCACCTGTCTTTCATGCCAAAATGTGTGTAGTACATGTTCTTACTTTTGTCCTATAGTCTGAAATTCCAACATGTGCAATAGCCAGGTACTAGGTACCTAGGTCTTTTTGCTTTATGTGTGTGTGCTAAATGCAAATATTTGAATAGATAAATCATTATTAATTCAGTAGTGAATTACTTTAATAATTCCGATTAAGTCAACATGCAGGTGAGATTAGCTATATTATGTAAATGGGCAAGAGAATTTTGTACTAGAAGGAGAGGAGATAATTTGGGAACGAAGAACACGGAAGGGCAGATGTATACAAGAATTTGAAAACTGTAAGAGGACCCAGGGTTCTTGTAGGACAAGAAAAAGCATTAGCAAATGAAAAACATTAAGAAATGACAATAGAGAGAACTAGAGTGAAAAGGTGGAACTAGGGTGGAACTAGTAGTGGAAAAGTTAGCATGTGGTGGCACACACCTGTAATCCCAGCACTTGGGAGGCTAAGGCAGGAGGATTTGAGTTTGAAGCCAGTATGACCTACACACCGAGATGCTGTCTCAAAAAACCAACCAAATAAATGAATAAATAAAAACTAAAAGGACGCTTGCCTAGCACATGTATGTCCTAGGTTAACCCCCAGCACCACATACACACTACCACCACCAGAACAGGAACATATTAACAATAAAGTACCTATTTTGAAATTTTACTTAGCGTAAGCCTTATACAAAGAGGAGACATTCTACTTCCTCCTGTACCTCAGTTCTCTGGATTCATGACTTGGGTAATAGTACTAGTATTACAATCCATTTCCTGAGAGTCAATATTCAGATTAATACTACTCTGATTATAATGTATAGGAGCATGAGCTCCTACCACCATTAATAACATTTTAGATACTGCATACTGTATTACTATATTGCAAAAAAAACCTTTAAAATGAATATGTGAAATACAAGTCACATAACCCACAATCAGTCCTAGAACTGATGTACAACTATCCAATTTAACTGTATATGAAAACAAAATTTCTGTTTAGTAAATTTCACATTATACACTTTTGAAAATGGAATACAGATCAGTGGTAGAGTTCTTGGAGGGGAGGGGGAAGAAGATACTATATAAAGGAACTTTTAAGTTTCTTTATATTCCAAATTATTAAATCCAAGTATTTTAATTCTATTTAGTTTATAGTGAGGCTATATTTTTGAAACAGAACAATTTATAATTGTTTCAATAAAATAAGTAACTACTTCAAAACTGAAGACTTCACATATTTATGCAGGTGAAGTAAAAGTCTCCAGCAGATCCTGGTTTTTATTTAAACAGCTAGTCACAGAGGGTATTTAAATACATCACAAAAATCAACTAAGGTTTGAGTAGAGCTCAGTGGTTAGTAGGGTGTGCTAGGGATGCACAAGACCTTGAGTTCGATCCTCAGCACCAAAAATTCAAAACAAACAAAAAAACCAACACAGATGGAAGTAACTCAATTAAGTAAGACTTAACATAAACCCTAACTTACCTGTAAATGGATCTGAGAAACTGGTGTTCCCAATCCCCAGCATTTGACCTTTTGTGTTATCAATAATAAATTTGGCCACTTGGTCCAAAAACATGGGATTCAAATCATTTTTCTGCAAGAAGTTGTATGCAGCTAGCCAGGGATCATCACTGGTATTATATGGCAATTTATATGATGGTCCACCTTCATTGACATCAATTGAGAAAACATAATCAAATTCCTATAGGAATATAAAACAAAAAGAAAAACAATTGCCAACTTACTAATTTGTACACTTTAATGACATACAACAGACTTTGTTTTCTTTTATAGTACCTAAAACTTTCTCCATAGGGCAGCGCTAAAAGCTTCCCCTTTGACAAATAAAGCTGAATAGCAACATCTGCATGTGTTGCAAAATTAGTTTTTCACAGGCGAGGACAGACAGATTAAAACTACCTATTATTTCCAAGGTCAAAGGAGGATTTCTTGGTTGTTCTCAAGGCCAAAAGTATCAGCTCTTATGGTGCCCTACTTACCAAACATTTGGACATTATAAGCAATACCCTGCAGCGTCTTTCATGTCAAGTTAAGTAGAACCAGGCAATAAGCATTAAAGGAGAGGTGGCACAGAAACTCCTAATCTAAAATGGTTGGGAAAAGTTATGTATGGGAACTTATATAACTTGTCTATCTCATGCAGTTTTCTCTACATGGAAATATAGTTTTAAAAATCTATGTCAAAACAGGGAAAAAAGATAATTCTCCCACAACAATATATATACTTTTAAGTGTCAAAAGACAAAAGAAAATTTTATCAGCATGGGGAAAAAGAAAACCTTTGTCTAATAATTTAAGATAATAATAATTAGAAAATAACAGGTGACATACTTTCCCTTCATACAAAACTTTTCCAGATGTTCGCTGAGTAGCACCAGATGAGCCAACAACATCACCAATTTTGATCCACCTCCCTTCACTAACACTCCACTGGTAGGCTTCAACTTTCTCCCCATCTCTGATTAGACGAGTCTGTCCTTCTCTAGTACCTTAAAACAAACATTTTAAGAATTAAAGGTAGAATGGCAGAGTAAATTAAAAAACATTCATGCAGAAAATTCTTAACATTAAAAATTATACATAAAAAAGAATACTTTTTAAACACTATTATAAAGTTTAAAAGAAACTTTGATTACAAAAAGATTCAAAAATGTAATTCTACTAGAAGGTAGAAGAAAATAATGGTTAAAAGGAAATTTTATTAAAGGTTAAAAAAAAATTCTCCTGGAAAGTAACTGGCCCACTCAAAATAAAACAAGTTTATTGCTGAACATCTCCTGTCAACACAACTCATTTTCCAGATGCCCAGGCCAAAATATTAAGGGGTGTGATATTTCTCAGTCCACAGAACAATCCTTCAGCAACTTTTATCAGTTCATTCTTTAAAATATATCTAGAAAACTGTCTTCTCAACATCTCCATCATTATCCCTTGATACAAGACACCATCATTTCTTAGTTGGATTGATTCAACGGTCTTCCATTCCTGATTCTGGCTCTTCATAAGGTATATTTAAACCAACAATCATGGCAGTTTCCTAAAACTCCTGTCTCACTCTCAGTAAAAACCTAAATCCCTAGAGTGGTATATGAGACCAAAATAAACTGCCTCCACCAACTTCTCTGACCTTTCCTTCTACTATTCCTCTGATCCTCTCACCACCCCACTTCAGCCACTTTCTCTAAAGAGCAATGCTTGCAATAGCCTTGCATTGGCCATTTATTCTGCTTATAGCACTTATATAGGCTACTTTGCCTATCTTTTTTATTTTATTTATTTATTTTTGAGGTGGGATTTGGCTATGCTGGCCCATAATTCCTACCTAGGCTCAAGAAATCCTGACTCAGCCTCTGGACTAGCTGAGACTACAGATGTGTGCTGTTTTGCCCAGATATTCCTTTGCTTAATGACTTTACTTGAATGTTACCTTATCAGCACGGCATTCAGTGGCAGCTTTCTTCTAAGATTTATGTTCCCCTTCCAAAGCACAGAGCTGGAGTTATTTAGCTATGGACTACATTATTCAGCCGCTTGATTCTTGAAGTCCCTACTGAGTACCTATCAGTGGAACCTGGGTAGGAATGATATGTGACAGTTCTGGTCTATTTGTCATCTTTTTTTCTCCCTCTTACTAAATTGTTGTTTTGGCTGAAGTAAAGAAAATTCAGCCTTACTCTGATATGTAGTTCAAAATCAAAATTAAACATTTTTCCAGAAGATGCTAATCTTCTAAAAGCAGTAGCATCTTAAGGGTCACAATGAGAATATGAAACCATACCAATGAATTTTTCATGCTCTATTTTACTAAAATCCAGTGGTTGGTCTAATACTTTGATGATCTTTCACCTATGTTTAAATTTGTATTATCATGTGCTGGCCATTCGAAAAATATTAGCTCAATGATTTACAAACACAGATCTTCTACATATTTAAACATATTATTCAAGGTTAAAAAAAATCATGTGTCAATATCACCACTTACATCATTCGAACAGTCTTTTAAGTATTGGGAAGCCATCAAGCTTCTGGTGACAAAGTGTGTTTTCCAAAGTTTCAAATTTTCACTAAAAATTTGAATTTTATCTTTGGCAACAAATATTGTCATTAAAAAAAAAAAGTATGGCAAATACCAAAGCCTGAGTAACTTACTCGGTTGTTTCAAGTAAAAATGGCATTCCATGAAAAAAAAAAAAGGAGTAATTCAGCTTGCTGAAATAACTACACAAGTGCTTCTCTTTGGCTCCTTGAGATACTACTGTATCATGATATATTTTATGTATACTTTATATATTGTCACCCAGTTTTTTTCTTTTTGGTACTTGGGTTTGAACTCAGGGCCTACACGTTGAGCCACTCCACCAACCATTTTTTTGAGATAGGACCTCACAAACTATTTGCCTGTGCTGGCTTCAAACCTCAATCCTCCTGATCTCTGCCTACTGAGTAGCTAGTATTACAGGTATAGCCACTGGTGTTCAGCTCCAAAATTTTTTTTAATGTATACTAAATGAACCAAATGTAGAAAATTAGTAATTTTTAATGATTCATTCTTAGGGGCAGATGGCAGTTTTTAAAGAACTAAAACTGCACACCAGTAAAGAACAAACTACTAAAACAACTGGTGCTACTGACTTGATTTTTGAACTAGGGAGCCAGCAGGTTCACCCACCATTGCTTTTGCATCATAAGTATAAAAGACCAAGTAACATCTACTATCATAAATTTAGTTTTGATCTCATGATCAAAACTTCTGAAAGGGCTTCAAAATCCTCATGGGCCAATGAACCAGGCTTTGAGAAACACTGATATACCTGTAACAAGATTTTATTAGAGATGACTTGGCCTCTGATTTTAAACTCATGATCCCCAACTCATTAAGCAGAGAGTATTGGGTTTTGTGTCCCCTCCCCCAACCTCTGTACTAAGGATTAAACCAAGGGTCTCATGCACGCTAGGTAAGCACTCTGTCATTGAACTATACCCCATCCTGCCCTTTTTATTTTTTGATTTTGAGACAGGGTCAGAATAAGTTGCCCAAACTGGCCTCTAAATCACAATCCTCCTGCCTGAGCCTCCCAAGTAGCTGGGATTATAAGCATGTGCATCACTTTATTTAAACTCATTTTCTTTTTTGTGGCACTGGGGCTTGAACTGAGGACCACACTTGCTAGGAAGGCAAGCTACCATTTGAGCCCCTCCACCAGCCCTTTTTTTGTACCAAATATTTTTAAGATAGGGCCTTAACCTATTTGCCCAGGCTGGCAAATAGCAATCCTCCTAATATCTGCCTCCTGAGTAGCTAAAATTACAGGCATGAGCAACCAGCATCCAACTAAGCTCATTTTCATGTTTAATCTATAAAACCTCTTTAAGGGAATCCGAATAACCAAGAAGTATTAAATAGGGACTTTTGAGTAGCAACTATTTTTGAGCTAAATACCTATTTATGGAAAGCTTTACTCAGGGTTCAAAATCTGTGAGACAGGCAAGAAGAACATGATTTCTCATAGCATGTACGTGTTATAGTAAAAATTCTCAAAAATAAATATCTGACAATGAGGAAAGAACTGAAACTCTGGTAAAACAACATTTTTTTCTTACGACTCTTAGTATTCCAAAAGGCAAATACAGTGGCATTCTTAACTACCAGACATAGTGAAATATTTACCAGCTTCATTTAAATGTTCCCTTCCAGGAAGCTGCTCAGCATTAATATCCCCTAAATCACCAGTTTTAGAATCAATGGTTGCCTGAGAGAGTTCTTTTTCAAAAGCCTTGATTTCCTCAGCACTTGCTGTCCGATCCTCTGACTCTGTAAACACTCTAATAATACCATCACTAGAAGAAAAAACAAACTGATTGAAAAGGCATTGCCACAGTGCATTAACATTCTTACATATGAATGATCCAAAGCAAAGATAATCCATATTTGTGAATACAAAAAAATGTTACTATGCATTTACTGCTGAATACAGTAGCACTGTGCTGACTTCAGCACATACTACCAGTTATTATTTCAGCTATTTAATGAAGTTATTGGCAAAGGACAGAAAAATACATTTAACACAAATTTTAAGTCTAACTTAAATATTTATCATCATAATAATCTATAAATGTAGTGTTTACTGTTAAAGTCAGTTTTACACAGGCACCATAGTATATAAAGTAAGGTAGACGCTGGCTGGGTATGGTGGTGCACACCTGTCATCCTAGACTGGACTACACAGTGAGTTTAAGGCCAGTCTGGGCTATGTGGCCAAACTGTCTCAAAAACAAAAACATACAAACAATAACAGTAACAAAAACAAAAGGTAGTGGGCTGGTTTACTTTATAAAAGGCTCCAAGACCTAACATAGCTAATAAAATAGCAGATGTTCAATAGGAAGTATGGAACCCAGCAACAAAAGTCAGAAAAATTTATGTTTGGGCTAGAGGTGTGGCCCACACAGTAGAGTACCTGCCTTATAAGTGGGAAGCCCTGAGTTCAAATCCCAGTACCACAAAAAAAAAAAATTAAAGAAAGGAGCATGGTCTTTCTTTACCATGGCAGTAACTAGCAATGTAACCTCAAAGAAAACTAAGGCCTCATACTTGGACTAAATGAAAGTTTTCAACAGCTAGTCACAAAAATATAGCTCAATTACTATGATTTCTAACTTTCAAATTTTGAAGTAAGGGAGCCAAGTTAGCTACTTTTAACTGTATCAATTCTATAGAATACTTAATATTTTACTAAAATTAATTCTACTCTTTCAATTGGTTTATTTTTCTTTGACTTCTAACATGTTAGAGAGAAAAATATCTAAGTGAACAAATCAAGCCCTGCCCCAGCCAAAATTAAACACCTCTAGTTTATTAGACTTCTATCCTTTAGAGCTGTCCCTTTTTCTTCTTGCCTTCAAAAACAGGGTTCTGAAGATGTATTTCCTGCATACATCTCTTCAGATACTTCTTTATCTCCTCTTATTTACCTTTTTCTCTATCACTTTCTACCAAAATGTGATGTCAAAAGAGTAACTAATAACATCTTTCAAACCAAATCCAAATGCTTTCCTAGTTTTCCACTCCTTGACCATTCAAGCAACTTTTGACAATAATGACAATCTCCCTCCAAAATCTCTGTTTCTACCCTCCTGAATTTAAATCTGGACTCTTTTGCATTGTTTAATCTCCTGGGTTCACATTCTCTATCCACAATATATTATAAGATTCAGTTCTTAAGTCTTCTGTTGCTCCTTGACACTTCAAAAAGAGAAAGATGATCTGTGGCTTGCTTGCAGCAATTCTGTGCACATCTTTCCTTTAGTCTCATTCCTTACACTAGGTTCCAGTCCAACTACCCACTGGCATGTGTGTAGCTAACCAGCACTCAGACTGAGGAAGTCTGAAAGTCAAAGTTATCACCTGCACAACTTTAATTCTCCCACTTGTCCATTTTTATTAGTGGGGAATAAAATCTTTTTCTTTCATCCTTTTCCCTTTGAAATACATCATGTGTTTACTTCTTATAACTGGCATTGTGGAGGTCAATGTGTTATTACTTCGCAACTTACTGCTACAGGTGATTTCTAGTTTGCTTTCTTCTTTTTTTTTGACTCTAGAGCTGATGAAGGCTCAGGTTTTAATGTCACACTTCTTGGGCCTGGCATGCCCAGTTAGTCCCCATGGCCCTGCTGCTTACTCGGGCAGTGGCCTACCCATCGTCCTTGGGTACCAGTTGCATGTCCAACTCCAGGTGGCCCATAGCACAAGCCCAGAGCAGGCTGGTGGCTAGCATGACCCCCATGCCCTCAGCTGCACCCCCAAGCAAAAGCTTCATGGGTCCTTGCAGAGAGGCCAGGCCCATTGCCCCAAACCACATGCAGAGTGACATAGGTCGAGAAGCTGCCTATGGCAGAGATCCATGTCACTCTGCATGAAGATGACACCAATGCCAGAGGCCAGAAGACCATTTCCAAACCAGGATAGAAAGGCTGGATTGTGTGCCTTCGAGAGGAGCCAAACGTTGGTGCGATCTAGCTTGGATACTGGGGGTGGCCAGGGGCAAAAGACCCCCAGGTACTCCCATTCTGAGGCTGCTGAGGTGGCAGCAGCATCTGGAAGCGGAGTTGGGCCAGGTGGGAGACCAGAACCCACCTCCAGCCGCCTCCTATGGTTCCCACTTCTAGTCTGCTTTCCTGTTCAGCATCACTTGTAGTTAAACCCAATCTGCACATTTAATAATTCTCAAGTTCTACTTCAATCTGATCATTTCTTGCTCAAGAGCTGGAACCCTGGAACCTCAAGCACTGAGTCTGAAAAATGCCTGGCTTAAACTGTTAAAGGTCACCATAATTAAGCCACACCACACCTACCATTCAATATTCCCCAGCCATGGTCTACCATATCTTCCCATCTCTTCCTGTTCATCCCACAAAGGAAACTTCTACTTTCTCGTTTGTCAGAAATTCTAATTTCTTCTCTTACTCATTATCTGTCAAAATCTAACTTTTCTCCAGAAAGCTTTCCCACACCAATCTCTACCTTCTCTAGCTTTATTTACATTTGACATTTGGACCACACAACTTACAGTACAATTCCTTCATAATAAAGCATGTATCCTAAATGTTCAAATTGTTATTAATGATGTTATTATGCACATTATTTATTTTTAGGAATGTGCATATAGTCTTCCCAATTCACCTGAATGTTCTATGGTTTATCTATATACACTCTGGTGCCTACCAAAGACCTTGACACATAAAACTTATTGACTGACAGAATATAAATACCTCGCACCAACCACAATGTCACCATTGTCCAGCACACAGCAACACCATATAGACTGAGCTGGAAGTCGGATTATTTGAGCACATTCCCCATGTTTCCAGATTCTCAGAGATCTGTCCTCTGCTGTTGTCACAAAATCTAAAGTCAATGAAAACCAAAAAAAAAAAATGTTTGGATAAAACTGAGTACATTTATAAATACCATCTTTCTAGCTAGAAACACATTATTAAAATTAGTTTTAAATTTTATTTATACAACTTCAAAACTCACATTTTCTTCACTTCATATCTTATCCTATAAAAAGTCTTTCCTTACATACTCAAGACCTTTTTTAAAACCATCTAATCTGAACTAATACAAAGATAGCTATACAAATTTCCCCATTAGGGAATAGATGTAAGAAATACAGTTACTAAATTATGTACTCATAGACAGTAAGCTGATTTCAGTAATCAGCTCTCTCCTCCCTATATCGAGAATGGGATGGAACAATGCACAACATGAAATTTTAAATACATAGGATAAGAAAATCTTACCTCTACAATTTGGAAAGACAGATATGCTATAAATATAATTTGTATGTCCATAGTACACTTCAAGACACTCGCCAGTTATTTGCCACCTTCTAATACTAGCATCATTTGCACATGAAAGAAATTCTGTTTCACTCAAAATTGCCAAACCTCTTACACAATCTTCATGTCCTGCATTAAAAGAAAAATGTAAACCAATAAAAAGTGGCGGGGGGCATGGCTCAAGTGGTAGAGCAACTGCTCAAGTATGAGGTCCTGAGTATAAACCTCAGTACTACCCAAAAGAAATCAGTAAGAAGTATAATTTGATGAACAATTCAATATATTTTGTTAACACTATAACTTCTATCAGTGAGCAGAAAAAATTAATTTTTCTTTTTTTTTTTTGCTTCCTAATTTATTGATAGATTGTTTCAAAATCACACTTACTGAAATTTTATCAAAAAAGGAAAAAAATTCTAAATTCTGACAAAAATTCATGGAGGTAATAATCTAATTATATACCAGAAATTGTAATTGTACATATTTGCTAGTTTAGGGGCAAACTGTTTAATCAGGGATTCATGTATTCACTATAGCTTTTTAAAAACAAAAACAAAAACAAAAAAACCTTTTAAATATCAAGTTTATTTTCTGAGTTAATTTGTTTTGTACTCCAAAGTCTGTTTTAAGAAACGATCCATATTGTACATATTCTAAAAAAAAAAATTAAATATCAAGAGATGTAACAGGGATACATCTTTTTTTTTTCCCCTAAATTTCCACCAAGAAATACTGGGCTTGAGCCAGATGTTTCCAATACTTTTTTTTTTTTTCAATTTTTTAAATTATCATGTTACTGTTATAGTGAGGGTACACTGTAACACTTATAAAAGTACTTAAAATATATCATAAAAACTGATTTTCCAAGTTAGAAAAATTTCATTTATTTCTATAGAAATCAAATTTATATAACATATACACATGCATGCACATGCACAGACACACAGTTCTAGTGCTGGGCATTAAAGGAACCCAGGGCTTTATGCACAGTAGGTAGGCACTGGGCTACATTCCCACAGGCAATATTTTGTTTATCCCCAGACTTGGGTCTTTCCTAGATTATTTCCTAAATTCTCTAGAAACAGTATTTTGATCCCAACAAGACTTCATTTTCACCTGATAATTTTTCTTTCCCAGTTTAGGTGCACAGCTCAAGTGGCAGAGTGCCTGCCTAGCAAGTCTGAGGCTCTGAGTTCAAACCCTAATACCACCGGGAAAAAAAAAAAAAAAAAGAATGCTAGATTACAAATTTTCCTTCCCAATAACAAGAATAATTCATACATATCACAATGCTAATGACAAGTAAGTATCTCCTAAATTTAAGGACAAAACATTTTCTAAAGCTTGTAATTTAAAAAAGGAAATGAGAAATCAAAATATTTCCATGCTCATTATTTGTTGATTCAGATTAGTTATAAGAAACTGATGACTTCACACTCACTCTCTCAAGATAGACAGATAGATAGATAGGTAGATGTAGAGTACCTACCTACAAGCATGAAACCAAGCAAGAGTTCAAGTTCCAGTGCCACAAAAAAAGAAGAAAATAAAGAGGAAAAACAACACAAAAACTCACATCAAGCCAAGTGTGGTGGTACATGCCTGTGATCCCAGCACTGGGAAGCTGAGGCAAGATGAGCACAAGTTTAGGGTAGCGTGTGCTCACAGTGAGTTCAAGGTGAGTCAGGGCTAGGAAGACCCTACTCGAAATACACACACACACACACACACACACACACAAAATCCCTAATAGCAGAAATGTAATTAAAAGTAGTGATATTATAATTAAACAGTAGATGGTCTGGGAGATGTAGCTCAGTGGTAGAACACACACTTAGCCTGTGTAAGGCCCTAGGTTCAATCCCCAGTGCCAAACATAAAGAAATAATAAATACATAAAAATTAGAGAAGAGATGCCTCAGTATAGGTGTTAATAGCTAGAATTAAAAAGGCTACTTTGTTTTAATTATTGTTGTGCTGAGTGGGGGTACATTAGAGTATTTGCAAAAGTTCTTACGATGTATCAAATATATCATATTTGAATTCATCTACTCTGCTGCTCTCATTCATCCCGGAACAGTTTCAACAGGTATCATTTTTGCATTTTCTTACATGTGTATACATTATTTGGGCTACCTTCTCCCCTCCCCCTCCCCCACAGCCTCTGGGCAAAACCTGTTCAGCCCTCATGTTCTCTGATTTTGTAGAAGAAATATAAAAGATAATAAGAGAAACATGGTGCAAAACTGTAAGATTAGCAAATCCTAAAATTTGTTATTATTAAACAACGTACTTCAATATAAAGGTACTAACAATACTTTCTTCCAGATATGAAGATAATACTGCTGACTTACCACCAATAAGTCTTATGCCTAAATTTGTACTTTAAATGCGTTAAATGGCAACTAAAGATACAACTGCAGACCAACAGGTACACATACTGCAGCATATACATATTCCATTAGACAACTATTGCTTAGTCTACATTCAGTTAGTTTATGAGGTCTCATATTAAAGATGCTAAATATCAAAATCATAAAAATTACATGTGCTCTTTTTTTGTTAAGTGATAATGGTTTTGAATTCTTAAGCACTCTACCACTTGAACCATGTTCCCAGCCCTTCCTTGCTTTAGTCATTTTTCAGACAGTCTCAAGTTTTACCCCAGTGCCAGCCTCAGACCTCAATCCTCCTGCCTACACTTCCCACTTAGCTGGGATTACAGACACACACGACCATGCCTAGCTTGTTTATTGATAGGGAACTCTGCCTCGGGTGGCCTTGAACAGCAATCTCTCTTATCTCTACCTCCTGAGCAGCTAGGATTAAAGGTGTGTGCTGCCACCACACCCAGCCCTATATTTGATCATATTAAGGCACTTAAACATACTAGTGTTTTTCAAATATCATTTTTTTTCTTCTTTTCTTTTTCTCATTTTCAATTACTTTTTTTGGCAGTACTAGAGTTTGAATTCAGGACCTTGTGCCCCTTTGAACTATGTCCCTAGGCCTTCAAATACCATTTTAAAATTCTATTTTTAAACTTTAGAGAAAATAGCACTCATCTGTGCAAATAAGAAGTGATTATATCATAAAAGTTGTCTACTCTGATCTTACCTGAAAACGTCCTCTCACATCTTCCAGCCTTCCACAGTTTAATTGTTTTGTCTGCCGATCCCGTTAACATTAAGCCCTGTTCTGGTAAAATCTTTACTGCCCATACTGCAGCTGTATGACCCTGTGAGTAAAGTGGGTATCAATTTAAATTGCTACAGAACTATCAGACACCTTTATTAACCAGAATATTCACACGGAAACACTGTACCTGTAAGGTCATCATGCACTTGTCATTCAGCCAGACTTTAGCAGTGGTGTCCCATGAACCACTAAGTAATGTCCCAAATTTTCCAGATGAAAGACTGCAAACTAGGGGTAAAGAGTCATTAGTTAACACATTTACATGCAGAAAAACGTTCAACACTCCAAGTTATCAAAGTATTGTGATTTTAAAAACACTTTATCAAGTGACAGTCTCTTAGCCAATTAAGGTTCAACTCCACGGAGACATGGCTTTGGTACAAAATGCCTGGGTACCAGCTTAGCTATGCCATTTACAAGATGTGTGACCACAGAAAGAATACTTAACCTTACATTCCTAATTCGTAATTAGGAACAGGATTAAATGGGCTGTACAATCAATCCCTTCCAGCTCTAAGAAACAACAATAAAAACAATGCAGATGGGTGTGATGGTACATGCATATAATTCCAGCCAGTCAGGGCAAGTATGAGGCCAGTTTAGGCTAAACACCAAGACCCTGTTTAAAAAAAAGAAATAATGGAAATAATTTTGAAATACTGTTTATATATTTAGGGTCATTTTTACTAAAACTAAAAAAAAGGACCAAACCAACCCCACATCCCTGGTACCATGACCAAGAGTAATGGAATAAAATAAATATAAATATGAAAAATTATTTATAAGAGTATTCCAGAAACCCAAAGTGGAGCCACAAATAGGGATTCGCAACTTCCTTCCTGAGAAAAGAAAGAACTAATCACAAAAGATTTTCTATTCCCAGAGTGGGGTCCTTGAAACAAGCCCTTATTTGGATTTCAGAATGTCTACGAACAAGTAGCTGTTATCTACATTGTTCTCTTTCTGAATAGGTGTACTTCTGCTGATTATCATATTCCTCTTCTGCAATTGTATCCTAGGTCTTGGTGACACACATGCTTCTGGGCTCACAGATCTCTACATTTAAGAGGAATCATATGGACCTGATGTAGAAACACCTGAGCAACATTTTCCTGATGTTCAGAATACTATGCATCGCCCAGAGACTCTTAACTTTGGGCTTGGTACTGTAGCTGGATGGGAATTTTAGATTGTTTGAAGATGAGAGGGAGGTAGGATATTTTTGCCTGCAGGAAAGGGAACAATGTAGTAACTGGTGCCCAAAAGGCACACTGTGGTAGCTCACCCTTTCAGGTGCACAAGAGGATGGTAGTCTACTCTTCCACTTAAAGTCAGGCACAGCCATGATATTTAACCAACAGTCAACAGATGAAACAGTAGCTCATACTTTCAAGGCATATGCTTTTAAGAGTTGGGGCATTATTACACATGTTGTCTTTTCAACTGCCGCAATGTAACTACTTCAGTACATGTACAGATAAATCCCCACCTGTCTGGGTCCCTGAGAAAATCTGGTAAGCAGAGTGCCCTTACTAATTCATATTGAATAGTAGAGTAAATGAAAAATACTGTAATGTTACGCTGCTGAGATTTGGGAATTATTTGTCACTATATCATAACCTAGTCTATCCTGACTTATAGGTTAGAATATTTGAAAAAACAGGCCTATTGCAACATAGGCAAATGATTAGCTACACTTAACACAGACAACTATAGAGGAGAGAAAAAAGGGGATTATTAACTTCAGGAAAAAGAACTTTTTCTCTGATAAGAATTTAATTTAAAACTGTAAATAAATTATAATTATATTTAACATTCTTGTTTTCTACTTGTTCCAGAAAAATCATTAATAAGTTTCATAGATACAAACAATAAGATAAAAATTAAGCAGAAAAGGAAAGCAAGACGAAAGGAAAATAAGAATAGTATGTAAAATGTGTATCATACTAATCTTTTTTGGGGGGAAGGCAGGGAGTGTGGCAGGAAGGCAGAGAGGGGGAAGGGAGATAATGAGAGACAATAAGGGCAACAGTGAAATAACAACAACAAAAAAAACCGGATTTGAGGGATGTCAGGTAGCACCTGGATTGAGACCAGAGAAGGGTCACCTCACCCCAGAGGTTAAAATAGCCAATGAAATAATATGTGACCATGTAAGGGACAAGCTGTACCCCCATTTCTGTAACCTGTTTTAAATGGTATATAAGGAAAGCCCCCTTTGTTCTTAAGGCTCAGCCTCTGGATACAAATCTGCTGAGTTGCAGCGGGCCTGCTTAATAAACTTGCTTCCTGAAACCTTTGGTGACCTGTCTCTCTGTCTGAGCCATCTTACAACATTTCTGGGTACTTATTGGGGATTTGGAGGGTGGTGTTTTCACCTCCTTGTTGCTGGCTCAGTGTCCCTGACCTGCTAGGAGGTCCTCCCCTAGCAGGGACGTGTTGATCTGGGGAGAGAAGCCTCTCTTCCAAGCGAACCAAGGAGGCAAGTTTCAGTTGCACGGAGGAACTGGGATAGGCTCCGGAATCAACTTGGGAACCCCACTCATCAGACTGGTAAGAACTCAGGTTTAAATTCAGGAGGCAGAAGGGAAGTCTGATCAACTCCCAGCGGAGGGACCCTAGTAGCTGCTTTCTGGGGTCAAACTGTCTCTCAGGTTCAGGGAATGGGGTGGAAGTACTGTGCTGTCAGATGCAGCCCAGCTGTGAAGGACATGCGGAGTCCCCATCCATGGGTCCTCTTGTGGGGAACTCACATTCCAGGGGAGCCCTAACAGGGCCCCCAGTCTGGGTTTATATGGACTCACTATGGCTGAAGAGATGCCTAAATCCCCGCAAGAGGAGTGGCCAGAGACTATGAAGTGAGTGGTGTTATTTGTTTTACCATGTGTGCCAGAGAGGAGGACCCCTTACCTCCTCTCCACAATCCTCAACACTTCAATTTCTGCCTCTGTCCTGATGCCTGGTAACAGGAGGAATGTGAGGAGGTCAGCATAAGAACACCTCCCTAGAGGGCATGCTTAAGAATATTTAAAAAGGAATTTAATGGAGATTACAGAGTCAAGCTGACTACTAACAGGCTTAGGACCTTCTGTGAAATAGACTGGCCTGCTTTTGGTGTAGGACAGCCCTTCGAGGGGTCAGTAGAAAGGTCACAGTCAATGGAGATTTTGAAGTGGTTGTAGGGGAGCCTGGACACCCAGATCAGTTTCCTTATATCGACTGCTGGCAGAATGCAGTCCTCAGTCAGACCACATGGCTAAAGTCCCACCTAGAGAAAGCATGTAGGGTCATGGAAGCCAGGGTGGCAGCAGCTTCCAAGTATAGGGAAAAATGTAAAAAGCAAGAGAAACCCACATTAGCGGGGGGGCCCCAAGGAGACCCCACCCCCTCGTGTGCCACTGTACCTGCTGCCTTCTGCCCCTTCACCTCCACCCTCAGAAGGGGAAGCAGCATCAGACGGGGAAGCCCCAGCAACAACTTCACCTACAAGGCCAGGCCCAGGAGTCCTTGGATCTGCAACAACCCCACCTTCCTCAGGCCCCCTGAACCTCATGGCTCACTCTAAGCCCACCAGTTCTCACTCCACACCTCCTTGGGTGACTGGCCCCTAGGTCCAATCAGTACAGATAACTTTTGACTCTGGTGGCACAGCAGCCTTAAAGACAAAAGGGCCTGAAGCCAAGAGTCTCTTACGGTTGCACAGGAGCAGGAATGGCAACTCTGTGCCTCTAAGAAAGAGATTCCTGAGATGCCTGAGTTCCCTTTAAGATTCCAGGAGTGTGGGCAAAGGATAACCCACCCAGGCTGGCTCAGAACATACCTTCTGTGGTGACAGAATTAAAGCTGGGAGTCATTCATGTTAGCCAGAGGCAATACTACATTCATCACAAGGTCCAAACTGAGATCCAAAAGCTTCTTGACAGGCTACCTCCTTGCAGTCAACTCGACTACTGTTACTTTACACCTGTGGTCCCAAACCTGTACATACTTTTGGGCCTTATCCCAGGTGAGGCAAAGTTCTTTACCTGCCTGAACTTTAAGGACATATTTTTCTGCATCCACCTGGCCCCACAGAGCCAACCCATCTTTGCCTTCCAATGGGAAAGTTCTAGTACTGAGATAAGGGACAATTGACTTGGACTCGATTGCCGTAAGGCTTCAAAAACTCTCCTGCTATCTTTGGGACTGCCCTGGAGTCCAACCTAAAGGCTTTATCGGCTGACCAGCATGGCTGCAAACTCCTCCATTACGCACATGACCTTCGGTTGGCTGGACCAACTCAGGAGGATTGTATGGAAGGAACTCACCTCTTTCTCTCCTTTTTGTGGAAGGCAGGATATAAGGTCTCCTGAAAGAAATCTCAGATTTGCCAGGATACTGTCAAATACCTTGGGTTTCACCTATCACAAGGAAAATGTCAACTGGACCCTAAGAGGAGACGGGCCATCTGTTCCATACCAGCCCCTAAGACCCATCAACAGATTAGAGGATTTCTAAGGGCTACAGGTTTCTGCTAGATCTGGATCCCCAATTACTTTCTTGACAAAACCCTTTTATGAAGCCAAAAAGTGGGGAGAACAGGAACCTATGGTATGGGGAAAGGAGCGAGAAAAGGCCTTTAAAGAAATTAAGAGGAACTCACAAACTCCCCTGCTCTGGGCTTGCCAGATGTAATGAAGCCCTTCTTCCTGGGACAACTGTGGGAGTCTTGACCCAGCTGCTAGGTTCCTGGCATTGACTGGTAGTCTACTTATCAAAGCAACTTGATGCAGTTTCCTGAGGCTGGCCATCCTGCCTGCATGCCCTGGTGGCCACTGCTGTCTTGGTGACTAAAGCAGACAACTCTTAAGCTGTATGGCCGGCCCCTAAGCAAGTAGTGGTCAGGCACTGCCAAGGGCACTAGAAGGGAGAGACAACAGCTGTTCAGAGAAACTGGAAAGCTGATAGAGAAGCCAAACAAACAGTTCTCACAGGAGGACAGACTTCAACTTCACTGACAGCTGCCTTGCTCCCGTGTCCTTTATCTGAATGGGATCCATGGTATACTTCACAATAACAGGCTTGGTTTGAGAATGGAGGAAGTTTTCTGCCAGGTGGGTGCTGAAATTTGCCAAAGGCTGTATTGCAATTCCACAGTCCCTGGGTCCCACATTTGTCAAGCAGTTCCATGAAGGAACTCATTCAGGATGGACAGCTCTCAAGACCACCTTGGCCCAGCATTTTATGTC